TTCTATAACTAATGACAATTTTTCACCCTTGGCATTAAGACATGAAAAAATATCTGGATGGAGCCATCAGAATGTTAACAGTGGTCACCTATAGAGGAGGGGAATGAAGTGAGGAAGGGGGCTTAGGGAACTCCACATTTTATTTTCATATTTCTGAGTGTTTGAATTTTTTTAAACAAACAGGAAAAAATAATTTATTGCAATGTTTTAAAATAAATTATTTTAAAAATAAAATAAATCTTTTGAACAGAACTTCATCATTTATAAACTGTTTTTCACCCATGACCTCCCTAGAGCCAACAGCTATCATGTGAGGTATTTTCATATCCAATTGTCAAAACTGACAGAAATGTCAGAGAGTCTCATCTAATATGTTACATCATCAACTAGTTTGTGTGCTAAACACTTCCCCTGCTTATCTATGATGTGGGTGTGTCACCACCATTTCACACATGGAGAAACTGAGGTTTAGGGATATGAAATGGGCTACTCAGAAGCCACAGCATAAATGACCAATCATGGATGTAAAATTAAGACACACAGAGATGAAGGAACTTGTTCAAGATCAAGTAAAGGGCAGAGAAGGGTCAAACCCCAGTCTCAGACTTTCCACTCCACATGCAAAAGCAACCTGCTGCTCTTGTGGCACTCAGGCTCACTATTTCAGGTTCCTCTGAAGTTCTACTTCTGTCCTCTTGTACAGGAAACAACTATTGTAGACTTTGGTGGAAGGAAATGTCAGAATATTTCTATAATGACTTTTGTGTAACATCTGAACTAAAGAAGCTACTAAGATGGAAGGTATACTCCAGTCTATGACTGTTGAGCTTTAACAGCAAGTTTTAGAGTCAAAGTTATGAAACCAACCTACTTCTTTTTTTGAATAGAAGAACTGGGATGTAGGCCAGAGGTGTGGGGGGTGAGAAGAGGATTCACTAGCGGCAGAGTGGGGAGCAGAACGGTTATATCTACTGAAATACACTGATGAAGGGGGCAGCAAGAGAGGCAGGAGAGGTCTGCGGCTCCATGTGGGTAAGCAAACTGGCCAGGGATTGAGCTCAGGCTATAAGGTGATAGTCCTGAGACTTAACCCCTAGGTCACCAGGAAAGCCCCCCAAACTACTTCTTTTGATAAATTCTATGCTTACTTACCCAGTACCTTGCTGATTCTAACACATAATCCAAGTTGTCCCATCTATCTGCCTTTGCTCTTCTTCCATTCCCACCCTTATTCACCCCAATCTCAACACTGAAGTTCAATTTACTATTTGAAATTCATCTTGAGGTCATTCTCACCATGCAGGTTTTGTTTATCTCCCAATGGGATATGATCATTCCTTCTTTGAAACCCTTAAAGTGGGACATTCAGGGTTGTTATGAAGCTTAAGGGAGATTATAGAAACTGAATTATAGATACAACTGAACATTTAAGTCCTACAGAGTATGGATACTTAATATATGTTTCCCTTGCTTGGTAGTAAAGACCACCAGCTGTAGTGTTTAATACATAATGGTTTGTGTGGCTTTAACTTAACCATTTTTATTCTGTGCAAAGGCTGTAAAGGACATGTTTCCTGACTGCACTGAAAGAAGCTGTAAGGAAGTTACTTCATCACTCAGTGGCATAACTTTGAAGCACTTCTCTTTCTGGAGAAGAGGATCTTTTCAACATTGCCTACACTTTTCACAGAGTGGACACTCAAACAAGCATAGCCATGACTTCATCACATTCATGATACAAAAAGGACACCACACTGGGCAGTTTACATGAGCTTACACACACTCTCTCGACTAGTTCTTATGATGCTGAATGAGGGAAATGTTAATGTCCCAATGTTGTAGATGTGGAAACTGAGTCTCAGAAGAACTTAGGTGATTTGCTAAAAGTTGCATAAATAGGAAGTGGCAGAATTACAGCTTACGCCCAGTTAGTATAATTGTAAGTCCAATGAAACCTTCACCACAAAGGACTCCAACAATTAACCTGTTAATTTGATGAGGGCAGACCTCCATCCTGATCATCAGAGTTCATAAATGCATGACACAGAGGATATTTTGCCTTGGCTTATGAACCAAATTAACCATCTGCTTCACTGGATATACAGCTACGTTTACCCCATGCTATGGGGTCTCTATTAGGTCACATCCCCTACTGGCCAACTCCTAGTCATCGTCAGAATTCAAGCACGCATCAACGTCTCCAGGCACCTTTCTCTGCTGCCTACGCCCAGCTCAGCTGGCTGGAGCCATTCTTTTTCTAGTCTCCTTATCCTTCTCTTCCTTCTATCCTTTCTCCTCCTCCACCACCTTCACCCCTTCCTCTTCTTTCTTCTCCTCTTTTGTTTCTAACTAAAGAGAAAATGACCTGTATGTCTGCAACCACTTCCATCTCTGAACAGCAAAATTGAGCTATACAGTTCCAACTTGCTGTCTCTGCATGGAACAGCAAGCACATCAGATGATCAGACAAGGTTGCTGCCTACAGTGATGGCACTGAGGAGACAGAAAGACCCTCCTTTGGTTTGCATCATCTCTATCCAAAACTAAACTTCCTCCATCTCGTACTTACTCTGAAATTTATATTATAGGCAACAAAGCTTTCACTTTTAAAAAGGTATGTACTTGTTTGTTTGGTTTTACTAGAAAAAAACTAAGTTCTAAGCACCTAAGTTCACACTGATGTATAAATGAAGCAGGTATTCCAAAGAGGGAGAACCTGAGAGAATTTTGGATTCTAGGCACCAGAAGGGACGAGGCACAGATGACATGGAGACAGGCAGTGGTCAGGTGGAGAAAGGATTCAAAGGCAGAAGCCGGGGCCTGGCTAGTACTACGCACTGGAATGAGATCTGTGTTGGGGATCCAGAACCTACAGTCCTGTTAATTAATACATTTACCCAAATGCCAGAGAGCTGGCTTGCCAAAGACTGGTATTTTTATCCAAATCACTTACTATGTTCATAAAAAAGTTTGTTAATAAGACTTGTCAACAAGTAATATCAAAATAATATATGGCACACCAATATTAATGAAAGGCACCTTCACTAAAGACCTAATGTGGGAACAGCCACCTCATGACTAAGTCTTGTGCTTAAGGGTTCACATGATCAGGACCTGAGAGGGCTTGACAACTTGGGGGTAAGCTATCATCCGTGTACAAAGAAAGGATTACCACATCCCTGCAGGTCCATCTTCTACTTCCCCTTCGTGGCCTAGTTCAGGTTCTGCCTCCTTCAGGAAGTATTCCTTGATTCCATCTGAACTACTATTAACTTACCTCCAATAATTGAATACCCACCACAGCACCTGACATATGGTAGTTGATAGGAAAGGTATAATGAGTAAATGCAGAAATCTACATCATGAATATTTTTCTGCTGTCCAAATATGGTCTGATGAAAGACAATTTCTTTGGTTTGCTTACAGAACTTGCAAGTGATAACAGGAGGGAACTGAACTACTTACCATAACATCTCAACAAAGACATTATTTACTTAATGACATGTTATACATTATCCATAATACATTTTATACATAGGAATACCTGCATTTACTGAGTATATAAAGGTATATGTAAATGATACAGTCATCCTTCAGTATCCATGAGGAATTGGTTCTAGAATCTCAGCAGATTCCATAATCCATGGACACTCAATTCCTTTAAACAAAATAGCATAGTATTTGCAAATAACCTATGCACAGAGCATTTGCAAATAACCTATGCTTTAAATGAAATGTAGTTTGCTTATAACACCTAATGCAATTTAAATGCTATATTAATAGTTTGTTATATTGTATTTTTAGGGAATAATGGTGAGAAAAGAAAGTCTGTACATGTTTAGTACAGATGCAACCATGCTAACTCCATAGTTCAAGTCTGAAAGCAGGGCCCATGGACATGGAGGGACCACTGCACATGGAGACCGTATGGTGTATGATGTACATGCCCACGGACTCAGAATGAATGGGATCAGGAGGCATGTCTTGAAAAGAATGCTCAAGGGCCCCTGTAGGAGTCACACTGTCTGAAAATCCTCTCTCATTGTCTTTTTCCTTGAGAAATATGCAAACCACCTCATTTTCCCTCTCCCTCAACTCTTCCTCCAAAAACATGAGCCAGGGCATCACACTTGTTGCATCCAGGAACTATTACTCCATCTTCAGCAGCAGTGGGAAACTACACAGCCTGGGGGTTATTGGGGTACTGTCAGTTGGGTCTCTCTAAACATGCCACCTGGGGTTGAATCCTGGTCCTTCCACACTTTAGCCTACACGAGTCAGCTAACAGCTCTATAAAAAGCAGGTCATAATAGCATCTACCTCCCAAGGCTGGTGAGGAAGGACTGAGGCAATGTACGCACAGGGTGATGTCTGGAACACATAAATATTCAGCAAATGTGTGTCATAATCCATATCCATATTGTTCTCTTTGTCTCTCCTGTGGAAAATCCCGCTGGCAGATTGGGGATTTTCTACTACACTGATGTCAAAACCACATCCTTCAGAAGCTACCCCAAAACCCCCACAGAAATCCTGCACACAAGATGACTCATGCGCCTCACCCATAGCAGGGCAGGTAAGTACAGAGATGCTCTGATAAAGCTCCTTTGTCCCAAATACCAGCGTAAATACCCAGTGGTTGTCTAATCGTGTTCCCCTGCATAAAATCAGTGCAGCCTTGGCATCAGAAGAAATGTAAACTCTTAGATAACTGGTGTTACTTAACTTCAGTATCAGAACCTTTTTCTTTTTTCTTGATCAGATAATTTTTGCAAAAGTAAATCTCTTAATTAAAAAATCAAAAAGAAAAGAATATAAATTGCACTTTTTTTCTGTTGTCTGCCATTTTGGGTACTAAATCACATTATGACATTGCAAAACTGTCAGAGTGTAATTAACTTGCATTGCTTCACATTCCTGATGCAGCAATTCTTGAAGACACCGCTTTATAAGGGACCCAGACAGCACCTAGAGGGACACTGTGAAGCCAGGGCACTCACCGAAGGAAGGGCCCAGTGGGAGCACAGCGGAGGGCAGGAGAGGGCCTACTTGGAGACAGAGCCATGTTCAGTCTGAAGCCACTTCCACTTGTGCTCTTGCTCCACATGCAGCTTTCCAGGGCCTTTCCGATATCTTCTGAATCCCCAGGAGAAAAAGACATAAAAGTTGTTCAGGTAAATTGACTCTCAGCAGGTGGGTGGTTGATGTGCTGGCTGTTAGGAATTTGGTGGATTGCTTTCTCTTTTCAGTTCAAACAGCATTAAAGAAATTCCCTGGGTAGTATGTGGACGCATATCTTATTTCAGGGATGTAGAGGCTTCCAAGCTGGCCAGGCCTCGGACCTGTAAAAACTGGCATGAAACAAAGCCTAGAAAAGACAACTCCCCAGCTGTCTCCAGCCAGGAACCCACATAGAAGGAATGGTTTTAATTACAAATTAAATGCTTTCCTTTCTCCCTGACCTAAGCTGTTCCCTTCCAGAACATCTGCAACCCAGACCCTACAGCTACATGCCTGGTACTTCCTATACGCACTTGTCTCTGTAGTTAGATTGCAGGTGTGGAGGAGAGCTTGAGGATAGGAAATTACAAGGAACTAGAAATCAGTTCATAGTGTAATCAGACCTCTTAACATAAGATGATGGAGTCATTTGATAACTCTTGGAAGCACTATAAAAGCAGAACCAGTAACATTTTCCCCTTGTTCCATGGCATGAAAGGCCAAATTTTAAGAACTAACTAGAAGATAAATCTGTTACAAATTTATCAAGTGCAATTTTCTTAGCATTACAGTTTTAGAAAAGCTGCTTTTTCTCTTATTTTTTGATAACTTTTACAATGCTAACAGTCCCCAGGAATTAATAACTAGAGGTCACTGAGTGCTTGTTCTGTACAGGGTGCTTTGCTAAGAGCTACCAAACACCATCTTGTTGCCTGCTCACAATAGTGTGGATGTTGGGGGGAGGGGCCTGGGGCCGGGAGAGAGAGGGACATAATGAGGCGAGACTGTTATTGCCACTTAAGAGACTAAAGTTAATCTTAGATCAGTGAAGTTACATGCCCATGGACTCAGTTAATACACAGCAAAAGTAAGGTCTGACCCCAAAGCCTGTGGGAGCACAAAACATTCTGTCCTGGACAGGGCTCAAGGGTGCCAAAGGTGAAAGAAAGATGTTTCAGGATTGGCTTGTTAATACCCACAGAACCTTTATTTTCTGTGAGTGCTGGCCCCTTCTCAGGACTTATTTAGTGGATAAAATGCTATCAGCAGTGGTGCTGATTGGAGTGCTTTTGAAATTGCCAGTTCTCATTGTAGAAGCAACATGGTAAGCTGGGACTGAACTGTCACCTTGGCAAGTTTCTTCTCTGCACCTCCATGTCTTGGGATAATTAAATCTCTACAATAGTGAAAAGAGGATTTAAAGAGCACTGATGCAGCTAGGACCTCCAGAAGTCAATAAATTCCAGTGCTAAGTTTCTCATAAAAATAAGTCAGTCTCCTGACTATATACAAGCATTTTGCATGATGCCTCATTCTACATTCCTTGGGAAACACCCATATTGATGCATAAACCTTAACAGGAATAGTGCCTAGAGTACTAGTTTTTGCAATAGGTACTATTCTTTCCGAGTCAGTGCTTTTGTTCCTGTTGCTATTGGTTTTAATCCTGGTTTGGCCTCTGCAGTAACTTAGAAGAAAGGTAAAATTCCCTTAGAGAATGGGAGGGAATTTCACAGCAAGTTCCCTTATATGTCTCTCTTTGCCCAGAGATACCTAGAGAACTTCTATCAGTTACCAAAGGACAGATTCCAGTTGGAAAAGAAGAAAAGCACTAGTGTGATTGTTGAAAAGCTGAAAGAAATGCAGCAGTTCTTTGGGTTGAAGGTGACGGGGAAGCCAGATGAGGAAACTCTAGAGATGATGGAAAAGCCTCGCTGTGGAGTGCCTGATAGTGCTGGTTTTATGTTGACCCCAGGAAGCCCCAAGTGGAAACATACTAACCTGACCTACAGGTGATATTTCTAGAGTTTCACCATTCATTCATTCAACCATTATTTACTGAGTTCTTGTGATGTAGCAGGTGCAGATTCTGGTGAACAAATATGAGAATTAATAGGTAATGATCCCACAGGTTCTTTCAATCCAAAGCCTGCCATTTTTGTCTTCCTTCTCTAGCAATCTAAAGAAGCTTGCGGCAATGTCTTGCCAAGACTCGCAGTAAAACCCCCCAAATACTTAATCATTGGTGGGGGAAATCTAGCCTCACCTTTAATGTATCTTGATGATGATGATGATATTGATGATGATGATGATGACCAGTATCTATTGGATATTTGAATATTGCCAAGTAGTGAACTAATGCTTTATAAGCATTTGTATGTATTTAAACCCCACAATAACCCTGTGAAAGGCACACTATGTGAGTCTCATTTCATGAATGAGGAAACTGAGTCTCAAGACATGTACTAACTTGTGCAGCACATACATTTGTCTTCAACCCAGAATCCTGCACTTACTCTTTCTAACCTCTCATCACTTAAGCAACTTGCTCCAAAATAGAAGAACTCATATGGTAAAGGATCACTGGCGCTTTGGTGGTGGGTGTGGTGTGATAACAAACATTTCTAGAAGTGTCAACCTGTACCCCAATATATACAGTGTTGTAAAGCAACATTACCTCAATAAATATAATTTTAAAAATACATAAAAATTAAAGGAGAACTTAATCTGTTAATGAAATGCTGTGATAAACAATAATGAATCTCCTCATTTTAAAGGATCATTGACTATACCCCACAATTGTCAAAGACTGATGTAGAAACAGCAATTGAGAAAGCCTTTCAAGTCTGGAGTGGTGCAACACGGCTGACCTTCACCAAGCTCTCCCAGGGAGAAGCAGATATCATGATCGCTTTTGTCCAAAGAGGTAGGCCAAAGAGGTTATGCTCAATTGCACTTGCCTTTCTTGGCTCAACAGATTTGACAAGGACCTAATATTAATGGTTTCATTTCAGATCATGGTGACAATTCTCCATTTGATGGGCCCAATGGCATCCTTGCTCATGCCTTTCAGCCAGGCCCAGGCATTGGAGGAGATGCTCATTTTGATGCAGAAGAAATATGGACCAAGACTTCTAGAAGTAAGTTCGCCAAGGTTATGTCCATATGCAGCATCTGATTAACTTTTTCTGTTAGAATTCTCAATGCCCCCACCACACACACACACACGCACATTCAAGTTAATGTAATATTTCAAAACACAATCTGACCATCTAAATTATTTCTACCTCAAGATAGTAAGTTAACATAGGTTTAAAAAAAATCCTGAAACTGGGCCTCCCCGGTGGCGCAGCAGTTGAGCGCTGGGCTGCGAAGCTGCCCGCGGCCTCTGCGGCGCCGGATCGATCCCCGGCTGCTCCCCGGCCACCGGAGGAGGGTCCCACATGGCACGCAGACCTCTCCTGCCGCCCGCTGCTCCCCTCAGCAGTGTACTTCAGTCCTTCTGCCTGCTCTGCTCCCCGCTCTGGCTCTGGTGAATTCTCTCACCCTCCTGCGCTTCTGACTATACCTAGTACATGTATAAACAAAACAAACAAACAAATAAATAAAATAAATTAAAAAAACCCATGCCTCTATAAAAAAAAAATAAATAATAAATGAAATAAATTTTTAAAAAATCCTGAAACTAACTACCTACCTTATTTCTAGGATAGGAATTGGGAAGTTACAGACCATTCCTAAATCCTACCAAGGCTTATTCATATAAAAATAGTTTTGGGGGAACAGGGCCACAGTCATTTGTTTCTGCATTACCTGTGGCAGTTTTTACACTGGAAAGGCAGAACTGAGTAATTCAGACAGTGACCATCTGGCTCTTGGAGCCTAAAATATTTACTATCTGACCCTATACAAAAGAGTTTGTTGACCACTGCTTGAGGACATATCTTTCTTTTAACATTCTGAAACATAATGGTGTTTGGAAAAGAGCCCTATATTTGGAAATTTCAGAAATAATTTGGTTCATTTAGAAAATTGTCCTTCCTGAGAAAGGACAGTCATCTTCTTTTTATCTAGTTATTTCAGCTTCATGGATTGCTTTCTCAACGGCATGGAGATATTTAGCAAGTCATCCTTTTCAAAAGACTGAGAGTAAGAGGAATTAGGGCACCTGAGGGGAAGAAAAGAGGGTAAGGACAGGGACTTTAAATCTATATGGTACTTCACAAGGCTATAGGGCAATAATATGCCACAGAACACTTTCTAGAAAATAATAGGAAAGGAACCTTTTACCTTTGCTTAGGACCTGTTCCTCCTACCATATTCTCAACATAAATCCCTGTGCTAGTAGCTGTGTTCGCATTCCTACTGCCCTTCTCTCTAGTTCAGATGGTCATTCCCTCTTATATGAACTAAGTGATTCAGATTCCCACCTGGACTGTCTACCTCCAGTCTCTACTCCCTCTAATTTCCCCCAATATGGCCCTATGGTTTGTCTTTGGAAAGCCCATCTTAGATCACATCACCCTCCTACTTAAAACTCTGTTTTTACCTATTCTGGACCAAATAATATCCCAATACTATCACTTAGCATTAAAGTTCTTGGTAATCTTCCAGCCCCGTCATGGCTCATCCTCATATTTCACAGCCACAAGTCACATTATATATTCACTTTTCTTAGATTACATCCATGGTGTGCTTTCTACTCCCTTATATTTGCTTGCAATGCTTCCTCTTCCTTAAAATGCCCCTTCCCATGCCCCAAGTTCCAACATTCAAAATCTCTCTCTGCCTATGCTGTGTCAGATGTCACGCCCCTCTTAACTTTCAGCTGGAATTGAGGCCATTAGTCTCAGAATCCCAACAGCCTTTGTTTCTCCTTGTCTAACTGCTCTCCTCATTGTTCTATCCATTCACCTTCCCCCCTTTCACACTATGCACCATGACAAATCCCCCAAAGCACCTCATATAGTATTCCAGGCACTCTGATTTTTTTAAATCTACTCATGAAAACAAAACTGGAAGGATATGATGATCCAGGAAATTAGTCCACAGAGCATGGGTAGAATTTTACTAGGCTAGCGACCCACAGGAAGTTGACTGTGGTGGTAAGAACTTGGGTGCTGCCCTTCACTTGGGCTCAACACCTGCATTACTCACTTATTATCACAAGACCAGTAACAAGATACTCAAAATCTTTGCGCTTCCATTCCTTTACTGTAAAAGCATTTCCAAGAGTACTTCATTAAAATGTTGGGAGAATTAAATAATATTACACAGTCTAGCATACAGGGAGTACTCTACAACTATGATTTTAACAAAAGTAAGTATGTAGGAAAATGCAGTGTTTGTGAGATGGCAAGTAGTCTGGCAGGAGTGAAGGATTTGCATCAGAAGTCAAATCCCCAGGTACCTGCTGGAGCCCAGCAGGGAAGTCATGGAGGCCAGGCAAGGAGCTTGGACTTCCTGTGACAGGAAGGGAAGCTTTGGAAGCCCTGCAGTTCCCAGTCATGGGGCATGAAGCTCCAGGAAGGTACAAGGTGGGGAGGGAGCACTGAGAGGCAGCAGCTGTCTCCTTGGGCAGAATTTCTGGAGCTACTTGGAGAGTTCTGAATCCAGAGGAGGTGGTGTGTGCCTGTGGGTGATTCAGAGCCAAGCGAATGAGTCCCACAGGTGGCAGGCTTCTATCTGTTCACTGCAACTTGACTAATGAAGTTAAGGTCCCAGGAGACTGGTGAGGGGCAAGTATGTGGGCTTCTGTGTGCCATGAGATCTGCACTGGCTGTGCCACCATGTCCTAAGCCTCAGGTCCACATCCATGAAGTGTGAAAATACAAATAAAGGCAGTTTCTCTTGGTTCTCAGATTTGATGAGGAATACCCATCTATATCATCTCCTGGCTCGATTCCTTCCAATCTGAAAGGAGAATGGAAAAAGGCTGGGCTACTTTTTTGGTTTTGGAGTGGCGATGCTTGATATCCAAATAGACTTTTTGATTCATTTGCAGCCATTCATCACACGTGCTTTTTTTTTCAGATTACAACTTGTTTCTGGTAGCTGCCCATGAATTTGGCCATTCCTTGGGGCTTTCTCACTCCTCTGACCCTGGGGCCTTGATGTATCCCAATTACGCTTTCAGTGAGCCCAGCACCTATGTGCTCCCGCAAGATGACATCAACGGCATTCAGGCCATCTATGGTAAGGGCACCAGAAGATCATGGCGGGACCTGGGAGTAGGCCTGGGGACTTGAGCACCTCCCCCTCTGCACATCTCTCAGATGTGTCCCTTGGGCAAGTCCAACTGAACTCTGCAGGTGGCTAGTCCACAGTACAGCATTAGCAGAGGAGCCTGGGAGCAGAGGCTCTGCTGCTGCCCTTGGGGAAAGGTCAGGGAGAAATGAACCACAACAATTCCTGGCAGATATCCATGGACTGGATGGTGTCCAGGAAGGATGTCCTCCTTCCTTTTTAGAATGTTTTCAAAGTTTATATATGTTTAAAAAGACATAACTACCCCTTTCATACAGCAATCTTAGATCTATTTACCCAGAAAATTCTCACATAGGTCTATGAGGGGACATGTGCATGTCATGGCAAGGGTGTCCATTACAGCTTTGTCTGTGGTGGTGCAATTTGGAGGGAAGCCAGGAGTCTCCAAGGAGGAGAAGATACAGGTAACAGGTGGTAGGTGCGGCTCCAGAGTTACATGCAGTGGTTAGAAGTAGCAAATTAGGTGAACACGAGGCAAAGCCATGGAGGAGTCTTTAAAACACTGTGCTTCATGAGAAAGAAGCAAAATAATATATACACAAGCTGTCAATTACACAATATAAGAATCTCCATAAATTCAAAATGCATATAGGAAAATAATAATAAATATAAATGAATATAGACAAAGCAAGGCATTTTCAAGAAACATGTTAATAAGATGAATAAGGTGACTACTGAACTACTGAACATACTAAAATTGTTATCTATTGGGGGAAGGAGAGCAATGGAAATGGAGTAAAGAGAAAAAAACTTTTTTTAAAAGACATGATTTATACTTTCTGGGGTGGGATATAGGGGTCTGTGTACCTGCAGTTTGATCTAAGTATGGTTTGGGTAAGACCATGTGCTAGATCTCTGCTTTTTTTTTTTTTTAAAGATTTATTTATTTATTTATACAAGCACTGGGTACAGTCAGAAGCATGGGAGGGTGAGAGAATTCACCAGAGCCAGAGCGGGGAGCAGAGCAGGCAGACTGATGAAATACACTGCTGAGGGGAACAGCGGGCGCAGCAGGAGAGGACTGCACGCCATGTGGGACCCTCACTGGTGGCTGGGGATGGAACTGGTGCTGCAGAAGCTGTGGGCAGCTTCACAGCCCAGTGCTCAACCGCTGCACCACCAGGGGAAGCCCTCTCTGCTCTTTCTTGCCCTCCTGACCACTTGTGGCCATAAGGAAGAATGAGAAATCAGAGAAGAGGTTAGAGGCTCTTAGAAGTGCGGAGTGGAGCAGAGTGAAAATGGGAACGCATTCTTCCTTCCTTGTGGGAGCATCACAAAACCAAGTAATCCAGGGTGTGGTGTGTTCTCACGAAAACAGAATTTGCAGAATGGCCAGACCTACTCTGCTTGCCTCTACTCCCATCCCCTTTCCCCTAAAAAACACCTCCTTCCCCTGTTCACCATGTTTTAAATTCTCTAAACTGCCAGTATAACCCTTCACCTTATAATGAGAAAACACACCAATGCAAATACTTTCGGAAGTATTGATTCAGAGGTATAGTGTATGTCACCACACCACACCCACTAGCAAGGCAACCATAGTCCTCCATCGCCAGTTCATTAGCACCTTTCTCTCTTTGCTCCTGAGACCCGCTTTCTCCCTCTCATAGCCTCAATTCTGCAGTAAGATTTCTAGGGTTTGTTTTGGTTGAGTTTTGTTTCTTTATATTCCATACATGCGTGAAATCACCTGATCTGGTATTTGTCTTTTTCCTTCTGACTTATTTCACTTACCATCCTCCCCTCCAGTTCCATCCATGTTACTGCAAATGGCAAGATTTCACCTATAAAAGGCTTTCTCTTTCCCCCAGGACTTTCAAACAATCCGGTGCAACCAACTGGACCAAGCACACCCTCAACCTGTGACCCCAGACTGACCTTTGATGCTATCACCACACTCCGTGGAGAAATATTTTTTTTTAAAGACAAGTATAAGATTGAACTATTCTTTACTTTGACTACTTTTATGGGCATAACTTAAAATTGGTTTCTAATTAAGTCCCACATCGCACAATACTCAGCTTTTTTTTCGAATTCTACCCAAATGCATCCTATTGGAACTTACAACTCAAAACATCTAGGAAAAGAAACCAAAAAGCTAAAACATTATAAGTGTTCAGATGTTTGTGATGTAAGTGGCCATGAGCTCTGTTTCGTTGGAGACCCCAGAGTTGAGTTTATCAAAATATAGCACTCTGTTCCACCCTAACACAGTCAACGGAAACTGTCATTTAACCAGCTGCAAGGGAAATCATCTAATTAATGAAAATTTTTCATTTTCCCATTGACTGTTTTGTGAATGTGTTGTCATAGGCTGAGTGTACTTGTATTGTTTTTGCTGGAATATTCTAAATAGTCTCGTCAATTTGTATAAGTGGTAATGGAAGAAACTAACAAGATAAAATTTGTTAATGTTGAGGAGGAGCACAGTGTAAAATGTATACAAGTCAGGTCATGCCTGTGGCCTCCCCTGATGATGGTGAGGCACTCATCACAAAGCACTAGCTATGTGCTGGCCACTATGCTAGAAAGCCTGCATTCACTATAGTGACCCATCCTCCCAGCAATTCTAGCCCAGGTCCCACAGAAACTGCCTGCTTAGACTGAGGTGTATGTGTGGTTTGGTTCCTTTAGATACTTCTGGAGAAGGCATCCTCAGCTACGAAGAGTTGAACTCAATTTTATTTCTCTCTTCTGGCCATCCCTGCCCAATGGCATACAGGCTGCCTATGAGGATGTGGACAGGGACCTTGTTTTCCTATTTAAAGGTAACTGCCTAAGGTTTTTGACTCATTTGAATTCTGCTTGAAGGAAGGGGGCACTGCTTCTTTGTGCTCCCTTCCAGGTTCACAACAGGCAAGCTGGTGAGTGTTATGTCAGCTCGGCTTTCGTCAGGGGACTTGGGGTGGGTCCCTTCTCTATCTCTGATGCTGTGTGACCCTTAGCAGGTTGTAGCCTCTTCAGGTCTCAGTTTTCTCAGCTACAACATGAGTAAATCTTATTAGACCTCCTTTGGTATCCCTTCACCCTCTTCCCAGATAAAATTTTCAAAGATACCTCAATGCTGCAATTTATTCTCTGAATAGAAGTCATATAAGACCTGCCATCAAACTGTGTGTCCATGAATGCTAGCCTAAGAAGTGTGAATTTTTATACATGTGGGTCCCCACTAGTGCTCTCAAAACCCCATGAACTTAAGTTTGGCACCTTTATTCCATTGCTATGATGAATTTGTGTCAAAACTAAGAAGTGATATAGATTTTGTAGGAATGGAAGGACTTATCTAACATAGAACCTGAATCATTGGCAGGAAGCCAATACTGGGCTCTGAATGGCTATGACATTCAGCAAGGTTATCCCAAGGACATATCAAACTACGGCTTCCCACTCAGTGTCCAAGCAATTGATGCCGCTGTTTCCTACAGGAAAAAAACATACTTCTTTGTAAAAGACCAATTCTGGAGGTAAGGCAAACTATTTTTCCAACTGGAGACTAAAATCCATTTCTTTACCCTGTGTACAAACTACTAATGATCAAGCATCTAAAGGTTTTAAAACTCTGAATGGAACTTGATAGGTCACAGGATGAATGGTTTGCCATGAATTTTGAAAATGGTATTTTTAAACATTAAAATGCCTGTACAATGGTGTTAAGATTCCCTATCATGAAAGGGAAAATTCTAATAAACACTAGGGAGGAATGCAAAGAGGCTACTTCTAATGAATTCACTTCTAATACACTCAAATGTTATCCAGATAAGCATTGGAATTTGATGTCCAAGTTGAACTTACAATTTACATTTAGTCAGAGAAAGAGAAACACTCTTAGTAATTAAGTTACAGTCTTGGAAAATATAAGCTTTCATTTTTTAAAAACAACACTGTGCCAGCAGTCAGGAGCTTATTTTAGTATTAATGATACCCATATATGTTATAAAAATATCTACCCTTAGCGGTAAAATGTAGTCATGTTGGTCATGCCTGTGGCCTCCCCTGACAACAGTGAGGCATTCACTATGTAGACACTATCACCTTAGAGGTAGAGAATTATCCATTCTCAGTCCCAATAAATAGATCATTGTGAAAATGAATGAGAAAATTTGTATGAAGGCACTTTGTAACGTACATGCAATTTAGTAAAGTTATTATTCTATATTACATTGGTCTTAAAAAACATGACTTTTGTTTTCTTATCAGATATGATAACCAAAGACAATCCATGGATCCAGGCTATCCCAAAAGCATAGCAAGTACCTTTCAAGGAATTGAAAATAAAATAGATGCAGTTTTCCAGCAGGATGGTAAGTAGAATAAAACTATTAATAATTTTACTTGCACATTTGCATTTCAGTGGTATATTGGGAAAGAAGTATACGTTTAAAACATCTGAGGTCTGTCTTCTCAAGCTAATTCAATAACTTACCTCTTATTTTTTTACAGAGTTCTTCCTCTTCTTCAGTGGACCAAGATACTACGCATTTAATCTTAATACTCGCACTGTGACCAGGGTTGACAGAAGCAATAAATGGCTTAACTGCAGACAAAAGTGATGCAAAATCAGAATGTGTTTTCACAGATTTTCTGAATAGAGAAGGAAAGTCTAACTCACATATCTATTATATTAGATCCTATTTGTACTTTTCTAAACAATAAATAATGTGCCACTGTACTTATTGGCCCTGTCCTGCTCAAAATATACATTTGGAGTATTCCACTATTTGCAAAAGCTGATTTAGTTTTATCTACAGTAAGTGCTCGCTTAACATCATTCATAGATTCTCGGAAACTTCAACTTTAAACAAAAGAACATGTAACAAATCCAGGTCCTCAATGTCATTTTATTCCGTGTCAGCAGGTATTCTCTTTCCATCCATCAACTTGCTTGGTTGTTATAATCAACTGATAACAAATGAAACAGGTAGTGAAAGCCATCCCAGGGAGAAAGTGGATTAAGCTATTTTTTATCATCTCAGTATTCACTATTTCATTACCTGTTTGCCTGACTGCTGAAATATTTCTGAATCTCTGTAAACATGTCTTGGGTGTATCTGCCACATGCTATTGAATGCTGGGCACTGGTGAGAAGTAAGGATTATGAACAACACAGACAACAACCCTTGCCTTTGAAGAAAATGTGGCGTTCCTATGTTTATAGCAGCACTGTTTACAATAGCTAAGCTTTGGAAACAACCCAAATGCCCAAAAATAGATGACTGGATCAAGAAGATGTGGTACATATATACCATGGAATATTACTCAGCATTCAAAAAAGATAAACACATGCAATTTGCAGCAACATGGATGGTGCTGGAAAGGATCATGCTCAGCGAAATAAGCCAGAAAGAAAAAGAAAAATGCCGGATGGTCTCACTCATAGCAGGAATCTAAAAAACTTAAATAAGGGACCAGGAAAATGAATAACTATAAGAAAGTGAAAATCAAAATCAACAAAAAACTATGAACCAGAGATACTCTATGGGGGTAGGGGGTGGGAGGGGAGGGATTGGGGTCAAAATAAGGGGGTTGCAATTGTATGGGGAATATAAAATTAAAAAATATTATTATTAAAAAAAATCAAAAAAAAAAAAAAGAAAGAAAATGTGGTGCTATCTTCCACTCTGGGAAAGAAATGTTGACACATGTTGTGGGGATGGAGCTGAGTGCCCTCTCATCCACCCAAATATGTTGAAGTCCTAACTCCAGGTACCTGTGAATGTACCTCACTTGGACTAGAGTTTGCATATGTAATTAGTTAAAAAGCGGTTATACTGGATTTGGACAGGCCTAAGAATTGGCCTAAGAAGAGGAGAAACACAGGTACGGTGGAGAAGACCATGTGAACACAAATGCAGCGATGGAGTGAGGGAGCTACATGCCAAGGCTGACTGGCAACCACCAGTCAGGAAGGGCCAGGAGGGATCTCCACCCAGACCCTCCAGAGAGAAGAGCACAACCCTCCTGAGTGTCAACCTTGACTTTGGGCTTTGGAGAGAATGCACTTCTCCTGTTTTAAGCTACCAAGTTTGTGGTACTTTGTTACAGTAGCCCTTAGAAGTTAATACAGTACAGCGGTAATTAAGAAAACGTACCAACACAGAATGATAATGTTGGCTTCCCCTGAGTAAGGTTACTGGCATCTTCCTGGGAATGCACAAATATAATGGGTACCCATTCCTTTCTTACCTTCTCCCTGTTTTCTCTTTCTAGAGTCCAAGCAAATGGGCTAGTTTTGTCTTTTGTTCACTGTTTTTTTTTTTTAATCTGGGATGCTGGGGCAGGGGGTGGGGTGTTAGATGGGGAGGGAGCACTACAGATAACCAGGGGTGCTGCACAAGGAACAGTGGTAGGCATAAAATTCAACAAATCTCATGAAATTGAATTAAACCAAGCTTAGGTGCTTATATTTGCTAATGACTTTTTTCTATTATGAACTATAGGATTTTGGGGACCATAACGGCTAGTCAAATATCAAAATTTTTACAATGTCACATTTGCAATTGTTGAATGTAATGCAGCTGATTATACAATAAATGAGTATTTTGAAATATATTTCTCACTAGCACATCCAACTTTCTTTTTCTGTTAAAGTTTTTAAGTCCCACAGATAATTTAATATAAATGGGCACCTTATTATGGTTTTTAAATTATCTATTAAATGAGTTCAAAGAAAAATTTGATTTTTAACAACTGATATGTCTACCTATAATTTCTTACAATACCACCAGGCAATTTATTTGAGCTGTAAAAATGAGTAGTAAATTTTGATACACTTGTAGTGATTTATACCCTGTCAAAATTATATTACATTAATCTGTTAAATACTGCTTCACAGTTCATGAAATGTCTTATAATATTCAGTGTCATTAAAAATTCCCTGAAATAGGGCCTCCCCAGTGGTGCAGCGGGTTGAGCGCAGCGCTGTAAAGCTGTCTGCAGCCAATGCAGCACCAGTTCAATTCCTGGCCAGCCGGTGAGAAACCCACATGGAGCCTGCCTTGCCCGCTGCTCCCCTCAGCAGTGTCTTTGGTCTGTCTACCTGTTCTGCTTCCCGCTCTATCTCTGGTGAATTCTCTCACCCTCCTGCGCTTCTGACCTGTACCCCGGTTCTTGTATAAATAAATAAAATCTTTTAAAAAATTGCCTGAAATATCTTAATTTATTTTACAATATGTGAAAACAAACTAATACATACTATAATTGCACTTGTTCAATTATTCAACAATAATAAACCATCTACATGTCCCAGGTGTGATGCTGGAGGGTTAGAGAGATGTGTAAATCATCCATTGCATCAATTTAGCAAGTGCCAGAGGACCTGCAAGAACGAGTGTTTTATTTTTAACAGAATAAATGTCTTATTTTCTAAAACCTCTTGTGATACCAATTTATATAGACACGAGGATTCCTCTTCTCAGGACACCTACAAGTTGTGCTAGCTACTTATGATAGTTTTAGCTCAAACCTCATCTGTACATTTTTGAGATGAGGACTGAGTTCATGTTATTTCTTTATCCATATTTCAAAGAGTCCTAGGAAGTGACGGCAAAGTGCAATCATTCAAAAATTTATCCTTTTGAAAAGTTCTCTTCTTGATATATACTTTCTGGCTATTATCTTAAAGTTTTAGGTGAGTACAAGAGATGTTGGAATCCACATTTACAACTTAAACAAATTACTTTTTATTTTAGAATGAGTATCTTCAAAAGCAAAGTCTAAATGAAGACTTTGGTGTGGTTCTTTTATTGGAGACAAGGTCCTAGGAAGCAAGCAGAGGCAGACAGGGAAGAAGGAGATGATAAGGGTGTGGTGTTGAGGGCTCTGCTCTGGGCAACTGAGGCTCAATTCCACCAGACTTCTGAGAAGCCTACAGAACCTCTTGCAATTGTTCAATTGCCAGGTAATAAAAGGTTGGAATAACCTCCTCCAGTTCTCTCCTGCACTGGGTGACTCTGGCATCTCATCATGCCTAGGCAGAAAACAAAATGATACACAGTATATACTTGTTAAGGCTGGACTTTGTCAGAGCAAGGTGAGTCACACACACCTGTCCACCAACAACAACCACAATCAGAGGTATTCAGAGGGAGTGTAACAGAGGACACCAGAGGCACCTCCTATATTTGTTGCTGGGAGGTTAAAATAATGGGACACTGGAGGAATCTTCTCTTGAGAAATTTACTAGGCCAAGAAAAAAGATATACAGATACTCATACTGGGTTTGAAATCTCAGTGTGGCAGAAGCCACTAGCTGCCTATGTTAGCATCATTCTTCTGCAATGATTTTATTGAGGTAGCAATGTAACCAGTTATATTATATAACCTCACTTACAGCTAGATGTGGCCCTAAGTTTAGAAATGCATTGCCAAAATGTGTAAGCAGAATATGACCTGAGCTTTTCACTAGGAATTTACTTTCTCTGCGTCCTTCCTCCTGCTGCCTGGGAACAGATACAATCTTCACTGGAGCCTGAGAAGTGACCTGAGCCACGAGCATCACATTGAGTGGGGTGGGGGAGCAGGGAAAAGGCGCCTGCACCTGTGATGATGTGCTGCTGTCTCACAAGCCCTGGACTAACAGATCTGGACTTGTGTGAGGGAGAAATATTTCTGTTGTTTTGCTCATCTGTTAATTGATTTTTTTCTGTAATATTCAAGTCTCGTTGACACTTCATCACATGAAGTGTCAGGGACCCACTCTAACCCCCAACAATGAAGTCACCCATTGACATGTCAGCCTAGGCACACACTGCTTCCACTCAGCTTTCTTGACTGGTTCTCAAACAGACTGCAGAGCACACTGCCAGACTTTTGGAAAGAAAGCTCCAAAAAAGATACTTCAAATAATCATGAGAGCAAAGGAAATTTAGCCAAAAAAACTAAAAAATATTTAACATTCTCAAAAACTATGAAGACATATTTTCTATCCAAAAGAACTGCTAAGCTATGGGAACAACCCAAATGCCCAAAAATAGATGACTGGAGCAAGAAGATGTCATACATATACACAATGGAATATTACTCAGCAACCAAAAAAGATAAACACATGCAGTTTGCACACAACATGGATGGAGCTAGAAGGGATCATGCTCAGCAAAATAAGTCAGAAAGAAAAAGAAAAATACCAGATGGTCTCACTCATAGAAGGAATTTAGAAAATTTAAATAAGAGACTGGAAAAAGACTAATCAAGACAAACTAAAAATCAAAATCAACAAGCAACTATAGGGCCTCCCCAGTGGCGCAGCGGTTGAGCGCTGGGTTGCGAAGCTGCCTGCAGCCTCTGCAGTGCCGGTTCGATCCCCGGCTGCTCCCCGGCCACTGGAGGAGGGTCCCACATGGCGCGCAGACCTCCCCTGCCGCCCGCTGCTCCCCTCAGCAGTGTACTTCGGTCCTTCTGCCTGCTCTGCTCCTCGCTCTGGCTCTGCTGAATTCTCTCACCCTCCCAGTGCTTGTATAAATAAATAAATCTTTAAAAAAAAAAAACAAAAAACAAGCAACTATAAACCAGAGACACACTACAGTGGGGGGCAGGGAAGGAGGGGTGGGGAGAAGAAAGACTAGAGTCAAAATAGGGGGGGGTGCAATTGTATGGGGAATATA